CTGGAGGACTGGAGTTTGAGACAACTATTACAACTTCAAATTAATTCATACAAATTAAACAGAAATCTCAGATTTCAAATGATGATTTCATATTCAATATAGAAATAACTGATCAATATTTTTGGTTCCATTGGCAGCAGCATGACTATAGTTAAAGACCTGAAAATATCAATACTTTCTGACAGAAAATTTAAAAATATTCAAAAACAGATGACAAAAAAAACAACCTTCTTGACATCTTTATATCTGGAAAAGATTAAAAAGCTATTTCAAAGGCTTTGAGACTCCAGTGGACCATGGTGAAAGCCTTTGTCCATAAAAGATAAAACATGGAACAGTGGTGTCTCATCCCAGAACACCACTCCCCTAGATCAGTGTTTTTCAACCTTTTTTGAGCCAAGGTACTGTTTTAATTGAAAAAATCACAAGGCACACCACCAACCAAAAATGTAAACAAAGATACTCTGTAGCTGCCTATATTAGTCATTCTTATCAAAATGTATTGAATAGGAATCAAATAAACACAAAATTTTATTTTTATCACATTTTACATTTCTTATTTCAAATTGCACGTAACATGTCCACTTCAAAAATACACCTGAACACCTGAACAGTGCCACGACAATGTGGTCTTAAATTTAAAGAAGTTGTAGAAAACTTCAAAGTGTTTTACAAACTAATCCACAGGCATTGTTATAGTCAGAATACAGAAAATAATTCTTATTCTGAAAGAAGCAATAATATTTGGGAAAGATTTCACTGTTACAATATGAAGATTTGCATGTACAAAATGTCAATATCTGTATATTTTACCCACCTAGTGTGAAACCTGTGCATGTTGGGATGAAAACTGATTTCCTGGCAGAAATTGAAGAAAGACAAAGCTCTTCCTGAACAGCTCTCAGTCTCTCTCTGTTTTTAGTTTTTATAGTAGCCAGGCTTGAGAAGCTCACTTCACACAGATATGTTGTGGGAAATGGACCCATGTTCTTTCCAACTACTGCTGAGCTTCACTGTCTTTTCCATCACTGTCGTTAGTCTTGCTAGATACGATGCTCTCACCGCTACCTGTAACATTCATGCATCTCTTGTTTTAATGTAAAATGCTCTGTACCTACTGCAATCTAGTGGTAAAAAAAATACATGATTACGCCGCTAGCCACTACTAACCATGGTTTCGTTCACACCGAGTTTACGTGCAGCGGCTTTATTTCCCTCCTGTAGTGGCAGATCGACAGTCCTCAACTTAAAAGCTGCATCATATGAGTTTGAAAACATTTCTCCGTCGTGCCTGTATGCATGCATGTGGTTGTTCTAAATGAAAATTAACGCGTTCTTCTTTGATTTACAATTTTGATATCTAATTATTCACTTCCTGCTAGAGAGCCCCCTGGTGGTTGAAGAAAAATACGCAGAAAAGCAGCACCGGGTTACAATCCGCATGGTTCAAAGTTTAGGAAAAAAGTAGCAGCTTATAGTCCGGAAAGTACAGTACCATAGGTGAAATTGAATAATTTCACCTATGGTACTGTACACTAGTGGAAATTATTCCACTAGTGTGCCGCGGAACAGTGGTTGAAAAACACTGCCCTAGATGATCCAGGTGAGACTAGAGAGTCTTCCAGTTTGAATTTACGCCAAGGCTTCATCTCTGAAAGAGTGCATTTTATTTAACACTTGACAAGTTACAGTCTAACGAGTAAATTTTAAAAAATCTATTTTAGCTCTGAATTTTTACACCAACACTGCATATTTTACGCTCACTGTTGTTGAATTGACTCTTACAGAGTTCACATGCTCTGAAACTGCTTATTTGACATTTGGGATTTACTGTGTGGCTTTGATCCGAAATAGCTTGTTGGGTTTAGACCAGGG